GGAAAAAAGAAACAAGGAATTCCAAATATGTTACTGCCATGTATCTACATAATTTTTTTTTCTTGCAATAAATAGCTTGCTACTGGGCGGGAAGTAGCACACATTTGTGCTGACACTTTTGTGCTGACGGGGTGAGCTCTGATCGCCATCTCATCAAACACAACTTCCCTTTTTCCTCCACCCTGCTGATCCTTTATTTTCACGGTGGGAAAACGTCACCATGAGCACAGTGAGTTCATGGGAGCAGTGGCCGTACCCAGGGCCTGGAGCTGCTGGGCGGATGGATGGATGGTGTTTGCCAGTCTTTGTTGTGACCATCATTGTCGCTTTTGTTGATTCTGTGGTGTTTCATATTCCTTTTTCTTGGACCATTTAAAGTTCCCTAGCATACCTGACTCTTTAAACATTCACATTCTCAGATCACAAGACGGTCTTTCAACTCCTCCCGGGAACTTGACTTTGACGATTTTTGTTTCCTTGTGTGAGAGCCAGAGGAAGAATATTTTTGAGGTCTTCTTCTCTCATAGACCGTGGTTCCACCGGACGTACTGAGCCCACTTCCAGCCTGATTCTTGCAAATGTTCAGGGGAGGAATCCGACGCCCACCCTGCAGGTCCCGGGGGACAAATCACTGCAGCAAACCTGACACCTCCTGGCCTGGTCCTTGCCAGCTTAAGGCCTGGAAACCCTGGGTGCGCAGGTCAGGGCCCCTCTCCATTTCCCAGAAGATGGTTTCTCAGGCAGCTTCAGTCCTCTCCTAGCACAGGTCTGATCGTGTCAGTCGCTCTCTCAGGAGGCTGGAATGGCACACACCCCATTGCTTGTGGAGCGGACACACGTTCCTTGACGTAGCAGTCAGGGTCCTGCTCCGGAAGTCCTGAACTTCCCAGTTCTGTGCGGTCCTGCTGCAAGAGCCCTAGCCTAGCCGCCCCAGCCCTGGACGCCGTGCCACTCGACCGTGGGCCTGTGCCCTGCCCTCGGCCTGCAGCGACTTCCCACTCGCTGCCACGTCCGAGCCTGGCCACCCTTCACTCCTTCCAGTCCAGACGCTGCTTCTCCCGGGCACGTCTCCTGTGCCTTGTCCTCTTGTTTTCTCTGGTCACCGACGTGCCTGCCTCTTCAAGTTCTTAGGAATAAGGACATTTCTTATTTGTAATATCCACCCCCTACCCCCCGAGGGCCAGCATTCCTTGGCTTTCCTGCGCTTGTAGCCCGCAGCTCCGATCTCTGCCTCTGACATCACACAGCCATCTTCCCTGTGTCTGTGTCCAGATTTCCCTCCTCTTAAGAAGATACCAGTCCTTGGATCAGGGCTCAGCCTGATCTAGGATGGCCTCGCCTTGATGACATCTGCAGAGACCCTGTTTCCAAACAACGTCATACTCACAGGTACCAGGAATTAGGAACTAGACATCTCTTTTGGGGGGACACAATTCAGCCGCAGCACGTGGTTATATCTACCTTAAAGACGATTCTGTTTTCTCTACTTACAATCATTTGAACGATTATTACTTGTCACCTTTCAGGTAAGTGATTGAGACTTTGGTCCCTCACTTCGCGCTCTTGATGACCAGTTCCAGAAACAAGATCTGGTTTAGTTCCAACCGGGCAAATCTTCACATTGTGGAATTTTAAAACTGGAAAGGGCCTATCTAAGTACTTCTGTTTAAATTTTACAGTAGGGAAGGGTAGACAAAGCATCTTATTTTCTTCTGCCTCAGGTCGTACAGCTGTGACCATAAAGTAGACAAATAATGCCGTGTCCCCCGATGCCAGGGGCAGTGATCTTCCCTTGCTTTCAACAAAAGCCAAGACACAGGGTATTTCTGATGAGAGTAAGTGTCTTTACAGCTGTAGCCAGATATTTTACGGCAAAGGCCCAAGGCTCATTTTTCAGCCTCTTGCAATCCTGCAGAGAGTCACCCTCAGCAAAGCTCCAGGAACGGTGTCTGGGGGTTGGGGTGAGTGTGGGCACGAAGGGAATATGTATGGCTGTGGCCACGGGTGACTCGAGGGTGGCACGGAGGAGCCCGCGGCGTGCTGGGGGGCCGCACCTGAGCGCCTGTCGTCCTTGTGACCTGCGGCGAGGCCAGAGCCCAGGGGGGACCCAAGCTTGCTTCCTTCGGAAGCATCGTTTAACCGCCTGCATTTCCTGTCCCGGGTGACTCGACTGTGACTCCCTCTAAGGTCAGAGACGGGGGACGCCAGAATTACAGTTAGGTCTTAAATCAGTGACGCTATTCATGTGCAAGAAGAAAAATAGAGTTTTCCTCGTATTTTAGAAAATGCTTTATAAAGTATTCGGATGGCCAAAAAGTTGGACCATCTGACATACATGGTTTTCCTTTCCCACGTCTTTTCTTTTCATCTTTTTAAATTGAAAAATCACGTGAAATGTTTTATAGGGTGTTGTGATCATTATTAAATTTTAGCTCTTCCAGAGGGGCTGTCCTCAGTTCAACTGACATTTGAGTCACCGTTAACCCTCAGAAATAAGGACTGAGCAGGCTGCTTTGTAAATGATAACGCTGTTTTGACAAGATGTCATTGTTGGGGCAAAACAGATTGAGCATGAAGACAAAAAGCCATTAGATCTTTGTCGCTTTTTCGATGTGAATGACTTCGACCTGTGCTGTGCTTTAGTAATTGCAGAGGGTGTTTTTAATGACCTGGTGTAAAATGGCATGGTTCCTTCGGGACTTGTCGGGGTGGGGTGACAGAGAGCTGGCTGACGGCTCCCCTCTGCTTCCTCTGGTGACTCGGTCCTCAGGTCAGCTCTCAGCTCGCGACGGCAAGAAACAGGCCCCGGCTGCGCAGCCCAGTTTGGGTTAGGGGGACGTGTCCAACCAGCCAGGCCTGGACCGAGAGCAGGAGACGATCAACTTCTGAAACAAACTTGCCGAGTTGTATCAAAACCAGCACCAGGGCTTCCCTGGAGGCGCAGTGGTTGAGAGTCCGCCTGCCGATGCAGGGGACAGGGGTTCGTGCCCCGGTCCGGGAAGATCCCACATGCCGCGGAGCGGCTGGGCCCGTGAGCCATGGCCGCTGAGCCTGCGCGTCCGGAGCCTGTGCTCCGCAACGGGAGAGGCCACAACAGTGAGAGGCCCGCGTACCGCAAAAAAGACCCCAAAAAACCAGCACCAAGGGTGCTGGGCCTGGCAGCTTAGAGCACAGACTGTTGAGAAGGTGCAACCAGAACTTGATGTTTTGGAGGCTAGGATTTAAGACAACAGGTCTGCTCCCCGAAAAGCATGTGTTCTGTGTTAACTACCACAGCCTGAAAAGGAAAGGACCAGTGATGCACAATTCGTGGTTGGGGACCAGATGCTGTGGCGATGTTTCTAAAAAATCGTTACCATGAACAGTTCTTTAGGTAATTATTAGCATTTCGAGCACTTACCTGTGTCAGCCGCTGTGTAAAGCACTTTCATTTAGTTCCTACGGCAGCTTTGCGAGCTTGGTGTTAATATGTCCGTCGCACTGATGGAGAAACGGATCTCAGAGGATGTGGATCTGTATCCACACGTGTGTGACTTCACTCTGTTACACCATCTCTTAGTTTTACAGTGTGATGTTGTCTGTCCTCTAACTCTCCGTCTGCCACCACCTTCCTCTTCTGTGCTCGCAGCGCCTGGCACCCGCCGGCCTCCGTCCACACTGAACCTGCCGCCGGTACCCGTCCCCTCTCCTCCCCCCGGCTGCCGTCACTCTAGCCTCGGTTTGAAGGGCCCAAGCTCTGAAGAGTAAATTCTACCTGGCCCTCCTGCTTCTAGTCTTAATCCGCCCCAGCCCTGTTTTCCTTAGAGCTGCAAATTGATCTCTGGAAAGTGCAGGCTGAGTTTCCCGACCTGCTCGCCTGTGCTCAGGGATGAGCCGGCCCTTGCTGCCACCTGCCCACCGCCCTCCGCAGCTCGCTGTCTCCCTCTGCCTGTCTTTTCCTGCATCTCCTCCGTCCCGTCCTCTTCCTGCTGTGTCCTTCATTCCCACACTTTACCTCTCTTTAACTCCTGCTTCTTCAAGTCCTGCTTAAATGTCCCTTCCTTAAACCCTAGGGACTTCCCTGCCGCTCCCCGGCACGGCTTAAACTTGAAAATATGAGTCTTACCGCATCCTTTTCTTTCTTGCACTGGGACATCTGTAGTTACACGTGACGACTCGCCCAGTGTTCCGCACTGAACTGTGTCCTCCCTGAGGGCAGGGACAAAGTCTTCTTCGTTAAACAACTGCTCGATCTCTAGCTTCGAGCACAGTGACGGTTACACAGCAGCCACTCAGATCTGTGTCGACTGGTTAACAGACACATAACTGAAGATGCCCGAAGCCGTGCATCTTGATGGTTGCCCTTTCTTAGTCCTCGCGTTCTGATTTCACTTGCTGCTTGAGAACGAACCTGCGTTCGGAGCAGTTTTGTCCCAGTGGCTTTTGGTTGGCTTTATCGCTGATGGTCATTTTCCGCCATTCAGACGCTGTACCGTGATGCACTTGGTTTTCCAAACTTCTGTGTCAGACCAGCCACGATACGAGGAAAGACTAAGTTTCAGGACATGTGGGCCCTCTCTGTTTGTCCTGAGCCTGGGTGGGTGGGAGAGGGAAAGCGAGGGCTCCCCTGACCGGCTGCGGGTTCCTGGCCCGATGGCGCAGAGGCGTGAACGCTCCAGAGCCTCCGACCTCAGCTGTGACGCCCCCAGAACCCAGGCCCGGGGTTCAGCTCCCTCCACAGCCCTGGCCACTCCTGCCTGATGTCTCTGCCCAAAGTTGCTTTGGAAGGAGAAGCTTTCCCTCCAGTGGTTTATCATCTCAGGAGCCTTCCCAGCCTTGGTCATGGGCACTGGCCCATCAGAGTCCACGGACAGGGCCGTGTGCCCGGGTCTGTGGGGATCACGCCTTCTGCACACTGGGGCTTCCGTGTGCAGGCGGACACCGGCTGGGAGACTTGTCTGTCTGCGACCATCCCAAGCGTCGCCGCTAACACGACTTCTTTCTCTCTTGTGAATCCACAGCTGGTCCTGTTCGCAGTTGGACCTGAACGAGATTCGCCTCATAGTTTACCAGGACTGTGAAAGGAGAGGCAGACAAGTCCTGTTTGATTCTAAAGCTGTTCACAAGATCGAGGAGGTGGCAACTCAGGTAGGAAATATGGGTTTGCTTTCCTCCTTTTTGTTTGTTAGTCCATTGCCTGCTCTTTGGGCTGAATTGCACAGCGCCGTCAGCGGTTCAGAGGAAACACGGGCAGAGGCCCCTCCGCCCGCCCCTTTGCGTTCGTATTAACAGACACGGGTGAGACTGTCAGCGAGTCATGGTGCAGATGCCAAGCATCGCACTTCAGACGCTACCAGAAGCGAATTTGCCGGTAAGTTGCAGTCCAGTCGGATTTTGATGCCAAGCGTGTGCCGTTAATGGGAAGACTGAGAATGCTAAAATTCATGAAGCGTTTGCCTGAAGGGAAGGTCTGGTATTACCCATAGATAGTAAGAGGTGATACATAGAACTGGGTTAGACAAAACTGGAGCGCTTTCCTTGCCACGGGGCTGCAGGGTGCTAACATGCACTGTCGTCTGCAAAAGGGCCTGCAACCCAAGCCTGTTTGACCAAGGAAGTTTTACTTCCTTTTTATAGCGGAGGGCGGTGTGGGGGTAGTAGTGGTGGTGATGGTGACGGTGGTGATGGTAGAGGTGAGGGTGATGGTGGTGATGGAGGTGATGGTGGTGGTGATGGTGATGGAAGTGATGGAGGTGATGGTGATGGAGGTGATGGTGGCGGTGACAGAGGTGATGGTGGTGGTCTTAGTGCTGGCGGTGGTGGTATGGGGCGTGGGGGTCTGAGGGTGGGTAAAGTGGGGACAGAGCAGCTCTTGATCCCTCGGAGCCAGAATGGGAAAGGTAGAGTGATGTGTCCAGGCAGGAGCAGGGCCTAGTCCTCCCTGTGAGTCTTCAGGGTGGCCATCCAGTGTACTTCTGACTTGTCGCCTTTCAGCAGTTATTCAGATGTCTACAACTTAAATAAATCCCTTTGTGTTCCTTCTTTTCGTGTTCAGTAACCTGATACCTGCACTGACCGAATCCTGGCAGTTTAGAGAATGTGCAGCTAGGTAGCTGAATAGTTTATGTCAGGGTCTCGGTCTCGTCAGGGCTGAGGTCTCGTCCTGCTTCTGATACGGTCGTTTCTGCAGGAAGGAAGTGTCTGGTTAAAGGCGGTTTAGCTGTACGGATCCCGTGGTGCTTTCACGTGGAAGCTGGCCAGGTAGCTAATCATTACAGCCGTTGCTGGGCTTGTTAGGTGGGTGGCTGGAGCAGGGGGGATGAGAAATCTCTCGGTGATTCAGCGAAGGCTTCCATGGTAGATTGGTATTAGTTCAGGTGAGCCAGCACTCGGCCCTTTGTTTGGTGGACCGCACACGGCTTCCCCCTGTTTTCCCACATCACTTCCTGTCTCCCCAAGGCCTTGCACAGGTGGTGTAGTTGCACACCCACGCTCCGTCACTAGGGTTCCTGATGGTGGTAGCAGGTGGAGGGAAAAAATTCTCACCTGTTTGCAAAAATAACCGGAATCCTGTCTGTAGGAGCAATGATGACCCCGGAGTCTGGAACAGAAGCTTCCTGGGATGGACACACTCATTTCCTCACAGAGGCAGCTGGGCCCGGGGAGGCTTGGAAACTGCCCAAGGCTGCAGAGGGAGTCCAGCGGGGGCTCTGCTCACTGTACCGGGAGCTGTCGCCAGTTGTGGACGGCGCGGCCGGTGGGCCCAGCAGTGTGGGGCGGGTGTGGACCGCGTGTCACTCCGGGCCCTGCAGGGCCGTGGATCGCCATCCCGCCCGCGACCGCTGGGGGCAGGCTTCCTGTTCCCCTTCTGTTCTTCCCCCATCTTCAGCCCCCCACCCCATGGGCAGGCACGAAATGTCAGGAGTCAGCAGCAGGCACGTGACTGCAGGCATTTGCATTCGACCATCAGTGTGACTGTCACACTGGAGATTAGATAAGCTGCACTTGCATTCATGTTTTTCCAAGCAAATCTACGCACAAAAAAGCAAAGAAGACTCAGGATAGAAACAACGTTATCACGGAGGGTACAGGCTGCTTCCGTAGGGAGTAGTGTACCTTGGCCTAGGAGGAAGGGAAACGTGAGTGAAGGTGTATCCTTATGCCTCTGTGCCACTGTTATAAAAATCTGCCATGAACTCCATGTAGGGAACGTGTAGTAGCTAATCCTCTACAAGCCGTGACCTTTGAAGGCCGTGTTGCCTCACATGCTGTGTAATCACAGCAGCCCCTGTTCCAGCATTTTGTCCTCATCTTTCACAAGCTTGACCTCATGACTTTCTCTAAAGCCGTGCGGGGGGAGGTGTGTCATTAAAGCACATGCTGGTCTTTCCAAATGAATAAATACTTCTGCCTTCTCAATTCCGTTTGCTTGGGGAAAATTTAACTTTGAAGCGATGTCTGTATCCTCATCAATTTTATAGATTATGACTCTACATAGTACTAAAAAACCCTCTAACAACCAGAACAGAGGTCAGATCTCATCGATGATTTTAGAATATGAATTAAAACGTCAAGTGTTCTTGGGGACTTCCCTGGTGGTCCAGTGGTTAGGACTCTACGCTTCCAGTTCAGGGTGCCTGGGTTCAGTCTCCGGTCAGGGAACTAAGATCCTGCAAGCCGTGCGGCCAAAATAATAATAATAAAATAAAGAGAATAGTCTTAATACATAACCCACCACCTCTATCACCCTTCTCAGCATCTTCCTCTTCCAAATGTTATAGACTCACAGGAGCCACTCTTGGTCCTCGTTAAAAAGAAAACAACAACACCCCGGTTTTTCTGTGCAGCTGAGGCTCAACAGAACAGAACGATGTGAGAAAGGGGCCCCCAGTGAGCGTGTGCTGGGGAGCCTGGTACGCTCAGCGGTGGCGGTGTGTTTACCCTCCTCTCCCTGTTCACCCAGAAAACGGAGGACGTCCCCACGAAAACGCCAGCCAAGTGCTGTCAAGGAGGTGGCAGCGGCAGCCTCTCTTCCCACGGCTCTTCCGGGGGATCTTTACCACATGCCAAGGAGCAGCTTCCAAAGTACCAGGTACAACCACCCTTGCGTGCGGAATACCCCGTAGGCTGAAGCCATTTACTGACATTTCTCCTCGGGGATAATGGCTGCTTGAGGGCCCCGTCCCTGGGATAGGAGACTAAGTATCCAGAACCCTGCTCAGTACTCGGTGATGGCCTCTATGGGAAGAGACTCTAAAAAGAGGGGATATGTATATAACGTGTAACTGACTCACTTTGCCATACAGCAGAAACTAACACAACACTGTACATCAACTCCACTCCAATAAAAATAGAACAAACAAATAAACAAAAAAAAAACCCCAAAACGGGCTCTTAGGTGTTTCAGGCCAGTGCTGTGCTCACACTTTGGCTTTATCTCTTGATAAAAACTATAACGGAGCAGCAGGGATCCAGTGAAACACACACCGAATGAAGAGAAATATTGCAAAGGAGGTAAACCCTCCTGTTTTGCTTCCTTGCTGGTCAGAACCAGATTAATGCACATGTGTTTTCCAGTTTTTTTTCTAAGAGCTCTGAGGATTCTGCGGATGAATATTGTCATCCTGAGAAAATAGCACTTGCCAGTAGAAGGAAGAAAGCCTTGTATAGGAGCAGATGGAAAGGCAAGACCTAACTGGAGTGTGAAGTGTGAAGGGCTGGTATATTGAGAAATGTTGGCCAGCTGGGCGCAAGGAAAGAGGTTTCATAAATATTGAATAGCAGAAGGGTACTACCTGATGGAGGATATATGAGTGTTTATTTTTATTTTTGGAGCTATGAGGAATTTTGTCTACCGTGTTGCTGACACGGCAAAGCCAGGGAGGTGTATACCAGCAGCCACAGGTGTATAGAACGTTGTTCGTTTCACGGTCGGGATCGCTGCTGTGCGTCTGCCCTTATTCCACAGAGCTGCCGGCTCTCAAAGCAGTATGTGGTTAAAACAGCATAGGGTGAAATTTTCAGCGAGTTGAGAATTGCAGTTGGCACGTGGACCTTGTACCCCAAGAAAAAGCAGGTTCAGAAATGGAGGTGATGGGTGGAAGTTATTCATAAAGAAGGTGAAAGCCTGTTAGTTTCTGTCTGCAGGAAGCGAGAAGAGGTTGGTAGCAGGCTCGTTAAATCAGGCGGATAGGTGTCTGCTCCTCTTTCCTCCTTTGCAAGCAGGTGTAAGTAGGTGTGTATATGTGTGTCCGTGTGTGTGGACATATGCGTGTATGCGTGTGGATTTGGAGTTGAAAGGCTCATGGCCATGGTCTTGCTTGGGTAGAAAGCGAGGCAGCAGACAGTCTGGCTGGTGGCCTGGGTCACAGGAGATGGAGGTACGGTTTCGGTCAGGCCGTGCGGGTGTCGTGCGCACTGGTTTGGTTGACACTCACATCCATCCTCAGTGTGTGTCACCACCACTTACAGTGGGAGCTGAGCATCCTGTATCCAAACGCATGCACCTGTGTGTCATCATATGTTCACAGTACGCACAGTGTTACGTCATGTGAGTGAGGGCGTTTGGCTTCCAGCCGCCTGAGCTCCAGGGGAGTCCGGGCCCCGAGATGAAGGTGTATGGGGGTTCCCGTCGGGAATAACTGGAATCACAGCAGCGGTTGAGGACGCAGACAGTGACCCTGTACAAGGGATGGCTTGAGAAGGTAGAGATTTAAAAAGGAGAGCAGGGCTTCCCTGGTGGCGCAGTGGTTGAGAGTCCGCCTGCCGATGCAGGGGACGCGGGTTCGTGCCCCGGTCCGGGAAGATCCCACGTGCCGCGGAGCGGCTGGGCCCGTGAGCCGTGGCCGCTGAGCCTGCGCGTCCGGAGCCTGTGCTCCGCAACGGGAGAGGCCACAACAGTGAGAGGCCCGCGTACCGCAAAAAAATAAATAAAAATAAAAAATAAAAGGGAGAGCAGGATGTGAGGGTGATCTGGCTGCGACATCTGTCACCCCATTGATCGCCAGGGTTGATTCGGCCGATCGGGCTGGCTAGGCGGGAGTCCCCTTCCTCCCTCACCGTTCCAGGTGTGTGTCCCTCCCGAAGCTGCGCGCTTGGTCGGAGAGGACGACCTTCTCCGATAGAGGAGGACCGTTCTTCGGTCAGGGGTATACAAGTAGCTGCGCTCCCCTGCTAGAACCTGCAGACAAGCTCTCAAGGTCCATTTGTAGGAGAACGTAGGGTAGTCGAGCTTCCAAGACTCCAGACACATCCAAATGAGGCGCTGCACGTGGCAGTCTGCCTTTCTAAAAAAAATAAAAAGTAATTTAAAAAATATAAAAAGGAGAGCAATTATGTGCATCAGATACCGTGAGACGTTTAATAAAGCCAACTGGGAAGCGCCCATTGGCTGGGACAGGAGCCGTTTGAATAGCGGGGGATGGGGGAAGGTGCCGTCCACCCTCTGCGGTGATAAAGGGGACGCCGAAGACTGGTCAGAAGCTAGGGGGTCAAAAAATTTTTAAATGTTTCAGTCAGACTTTGGGGTGACCAGACTGTCCGTTATCTTTTGGACCCACGAAACCCTGCCCACACCGATTGGCATTTTTGTTCCACACGTTGATTTTGGTTGGATAACCCTGAGGGCTATATTTCATTTCAGGATGTGTTCTTAGTATCAAGAGGAGTTGCTCTGCCTCTTCCGTCACTTAATCTTTCTATTTAGACTTTGTAAATGGGGACGATGAAAGTCATTGTTTCTCATAACCAGATTAAAAGTGAACTCTGGTAAAGCGCGTGCACCCTGTACGAGGATACAGTGTATAAAGAAGAAATCGTGAACGTTAGTGATAACTTGGGGAGAAGAGTGGGCAGTCGTCATTGTAGATTAAGACTGTAAAATGATCAGTTGCTACTTTGAGAAGTGGTTCTAATTACCAACAAAATTGCACATTATTTTCTGTCGTGTTGTACTCGACACGATTTTGGTTTCTTGCACGTCTGGTAGTACACGCGCCCCGCCTCTGATGTCAACATGCTTGGGGAGATGATGTTCGGCTCGGTCGCCATGAGCTACAAAGGCTCCACCCTGAAGATTCACTACATACGGTGAGTTCCGTCCACTGCTCGTGAGACGTGGCTTGGGGATGATGACTCCATTCAAACATGCGCAAAACTGTTACGCAGTAAAATAATAATCTAAACTTTGTCATCTCGTATTTGCTAGCACTTGATACCTTTTGCATATCTTTAGCAGTTAAAATAGTCTGACATTTTCTACATCACTCTGACCTTGAATCAGCTTAGCAGGACAAAATCGTAAGCTTTAGCTAAGTACTGTAAGTGAAAAATGTGTACCAAAGCATTTTGAGTATCTGCTAGGTTAGTAATAGCAATACTTTTAATCAGAGTTATTCAGATATTTTAAGTTTAAAGTTTAAAGTCAGAATTTCACAAATTTTCCATTTTCAGATTAAAGTTTGGCATGATTTTTTCCTTGTATTGAGATACATATTTTTTCAAATTATTGAACGCATGCCGAGTTTTATTTTTGTTTCTAGGGAATGGTGTCTAGAATAAAAGTTTCTGCAAAAAGCAGAATGTGACGACATTAAAGAACACGTTCCTTATCTGCATGTCAGAATAGAATTTAACTCGCTGGAGGCACAAGCTCTACGATGTGTGAAAGGAAGCCTTTTCCCAATCCTGCACTTATAACCTTCTGTCTGTTCATCTGTGCCACATGGCAGGTGGAAAATATACCCTGAGAAAAAAACAAACTTCTGCTTTGCAATATTTCTGCTAAGCAAAGTTTGTTCATCTGAAATATTTGCTCCCAAGGAAAATGGCCCTGGCAATGTCTCCATAGCTCTCTCTCAGGGTTTTAACATTCTTGGGATTTTAAAATGATAAAATTGGAAAAAAAATCTAGACACCCCATTGATACAGTGATTTGAAAAATGCACGTCTCATTTTCTGTAAAATAAGATACAGAAATGAATAAAAGCTTGAGAAAAAGTTAAAAAAAAAAAAACCCCATGCATCTCTCCCTCTTCTGTCCGTTTGTTTTTTCTCCAGTTCTCCTCCACAGCTGATGGTTAGTAAAGTCTTCTCCGCCAGAATGGGCAGCTTCTGTGGGAGTACAAATAAGTAAGTGCGGGATTTTCCCCCTCCCCTCCCCATCCCCCCAATTTTCCAAGTGGCTGTTTCTGGGTAGAGTCATTCTTTGAGGGCCGTAAGGCTTTTTGAGGTTAGAAGCGGGATGAGTCCACATTAACAAAGGGGTTTTCAAGGTGGCCTTTGTCCAATACATAGTGAGTATGAAGAGGCCTTGGACCTTAGCAGGTGGCCTTAAAGACAAGTGATGGTCTACATACATATATTGGGGGTCTTCACCTGTTAACCCGCTCTGTTCCTACTGCCAGTCACCATGTTCTCACTCCCTGGAAAATGAAAAGTGAAGGGGAAAAGGATATTATTTCATCTTATAAAAAAAAAATCTCGGGAATTCCCTGGCGGTCCAGTGGTTGGGACTCTGCGCTTCCACTGCCGAGGCCCGGGTGTGATCCCTGGTCGGGGAACTAAGATCCCACACGTGGCACGGCCAAAACCAAAACCAAAGCAAAACAAAACTAAACAAAAAAAATCTCACCTGTCAGTCTGCTCGTTTATTTATTTCTGAAGGAATGAGGCACAGGGTGAGTTTCCCGAGCTGAGAGGCACCTGGATGGCAGGAGGGATCGTCTGTCTGAGCCATCCGTGTAACCTCTGTGGTCGGTGAGGACTCGGGCCAGGCAATATTTTGATTTTCACTCCCGAGTTTTTGTTTGTTTGTTTGTTTGTTTTTTGTTTTTTGTTTGCGGTACGCGGGCCTCTCTCTGTTGTGGCCTCTCCCGTCGCGGAGCACAGGCTCCGGACGCGCAGGCTCAGCGGCCATGGCTCACGGGCCCAGCCGCTCTGCGGCATGTGGGATCTTCCCGGACCGGGGCACGAACCTGTGTCCCCTGCATCGGCAGGCGGACTCTCAACCACTGCGCCACCAGGGAAGCCCACTCCCGAGTTTTTTTCCCCCTCTTAATTTTACACTTCTGTGTAGACTAAGGATACTTAAATGTCTAACTTAACTCTTAGTCTGGCACAATTGTTCATATATTTTGAATTTTTCAAGCAGAAATATTTCACATAGTTCTTTTTTGAATAAAACAACAGAACATTTATTACACTTGGGTAAGTTTGGAAGAAATGTTTATTGTAAATTAAAGGGGTATTCTTAGGGGTCAAATGAAGGCTGTTATTTTTTACAATCCTAGGAAATTAAAAGTATGTTCCTCTTCAAATTTGGGTACCTTTGAGTAAGTCTGCTTACTTTTCAACAGAATAATGAATTTACTTTTTTGAGCGTTTAACACTGGATTGTCATGACTTAAGCCAGTATAGGAATTGATATTTTTTTGTGAGGTATTATTTTTCTGACCCTTGATATTACCTGAACATTTATTATACTAACTCCCTCTAATAAAATATCAAGCTCAGATTTAAGTAAAAATTATTTTGGCTTCATTATGCTGTATTATCCTCGAAATCTTTATTTCATTTGTTAACAAATACAATCAATTATTAAAAGCTGCTTGTCTCACGTGTGTTTATGAGTAATTCTAACTTTTAAGAAGTTGTGAAATCAGACTCCTGTAAGAATCATAGTTTCTGTTATATGCTCCTCCTGAAAAAGGTTGCTGAATTGCTCATGGATGTTAACTAAGAGTTAAAATGAATTTCATTTTGAGGGTTTATGTAAAATTACCCTCGAAATGAATAGCCATATCCTAGGTATCAGTCACCGGAGGAAGATTTTAGAATTCGGTGTCCCTCATTACATAATACTGTGAAATTGTTTGGAATGTGTCATTTAGTTCTATAGGTTGAACTACCTCCCAAAGCCTCTCTGTGTCTTTTCCTGCAACAAATTCCCCTAAAGTTTAAGTCTCTTCGGTAGATGTGAGACTTTATTAATTCATGAAGAAAAGTTGTCTGTTAGCAAACAGCTTTGTTCGTCCCTTGATGTTTTTCTCCTCTCTCTCCCTTCCTCCCCTCTCTGAACTCAGCTTGCAAGACAGCTTCGAATACATCAACCAAGATCCTAACCTGGGGAAACTGAACACAAATCAGAATAACCTGGGTCCCTGTCGTACTGGAAGTACCCTAGGTAAACTCCGCCACGTAAGCGGGGTCTTGCTTTCCGGGTCCCGCCGTCGTGGGTGTCCGTTTTGCTTTCTTTGAGTTTGTGGTGTTGTTTTGCTGTGGCATTATCTTTAATCTGCGTTTATTTCTGTGTGTGTACTTTGTCCGCCCCCGTGTGTGTCTCCGCCCCAGGTGCGCTGCAGGGAGGCGGCAGCAAACTGCCCCCGGGGGCGGCTGAAGGAGGACCGCTCCGGCTCAGCCGCAGTGCCTCTTTCTTTGCAGGTTTGTGTGGAATGCTGAGTATGGTACGACCTGCACACGTTAGTAACTCCTGGGCAGGTTCTTAGAAACAAATCTGTTGGGCGCCTCTCTAGAAATCCAAGGGGCTCGTGAGATGTTTAGTTCCATATGCTGCCGAGCGCCTGGCGTTCTGAAACCTCCACCCCAGAACCCCTGTTGGAAGCGTCTCTGCTAATACCCCCGCGGCGTAAGCCGGTTTGGATCTGAAATGAGCCCTTCGTGTTTCTAAGAGGATAACATCTTCCGATTTTCCTCGGCCTCTTCCGCTGCCGTGAACTGTTTCTCTTTGCCGTGGCATCTTTGATCCATTTTTCACCTGCACCCTTACCTGCACTGTGTCTTCAAAAGTCACTCTAACAAGAGCATGGAAGACCGGCCTCTCCCTCCCCCTCTCCCTCCCCCTCTCCCTCTCTCTGTCCGTAGCATTTAAGTAGTTCAAATGTACTTTCCAGCTTCTTTACAGGTGTAGCCACCTCCATCTCTGGGTAGGTACATCCTGAGACCGGCCTGGCCGTCTAGCCCAGGCTGCCGAATATCTGCCGCAGGCTGGCGTGATTAACTAGCGTGGGAGCCTTCATTGCTAACGTTAGGGGTTGTGTTTACCGCAGACGGTATTCTGCATTCTGCTTTTCACCGTAGCCGAACTATGCTAGGCACCCTATTTAACTGACTGCTTCCAGGTGAGGATAACATGTTTATATACTCTCCTTAAAATTGTGAAAATAAACACGCTTCACAAAATAGCTGGCAAGTATATTAATCAGGCAGAGCAGCGGGCTTCTCGTGCACCGTAAAGCTTACGGTAGCAACGTGTGAGGCCAACGTAAAGCATTCCTAGAAGTCTGCAGTCCTTTAGAGTGTTTTCTTAGCACCTCTGCAGTAGTGTTGTGTACGGGTGTATATGGAAAAGAGGCAGAGGAAGAGATATTTGAAAATGAATATAAGTGTTTCTGTCTGCCAAGAGAGGGTTTATGAAACACAGAAGGGTTTTTTAAATTCCTGAAATGGTTTTCAAGCCTTTCTCTTCTCGAGGTTTCCTGTAGTTACTGCTGAAACTGATTATAAAGCATTTTGAAAGTCCTTATTAATATTTTGCAGTATTTCAGTACACTGAAACTACTGAGATACTTAAATGCTATCTAACTACTACTAATGAGGAAAATGGCTGGAAGTATCTGCTCGAGGATGTCTGCTCGTCGTATGAAGTGTCCTCACAGCTGATGACTCGGCTTCTTTTAGAGGCGAGAGGCCCTCGGAAGAGCCTCTGTAGTGCTGCCAGGGGACAGGCACGGGCAGGTGGTCGCTGGCCTCTGCCCCCTCCTTCCCCCGTCTCTTCTGAACTGCATTCTGCTTTCCCGTCCCTCCCTGTGTGTCCTCGTGCGGTCACCGCCAGCAGGCGTAAAGCGAGTGCAGGCGGTCTGAGCAGCCCGCCTCTGCGAGCCCCGTGACCAGGTCTCCTTGCTTCCTGCAGTGCACAGCACTCCGGTCGACATGCCGAGCAGAGGGCAGAGCGAAGACAGGGACAGCGGCATCGCCCGCTCAGGTACGTGCTTTCCTCTTGCCGGCCGCCCGTGGAGCGAGCCCTCCCTCTGAGATCTGGGTGTGACGTGCACAGGGACGGCTCCTGCGAGACGAACGTACGTCGAGCAGCGTCCCGCTAAAAAGAGGGGAGCCTCCTTGAGCCAGTGGTCCTGGGACCTGCTGGGTCCTGAGCATCCAACCAGGGGAAGGATAGTGTGCATGGGAATCTCTCTGGCTGTGACCACGGGGGCTGTCCGGTGACCTGCTTCTGTCCTGGAGTCGTGATGCTCTAGATTTTGTCTCCTGTACCCCTTCTCTCCTCATGTCAAGTTGTGACTGACCAGGGTTCTGGGCCTCCTTGAGCAATAGAAATAGACTAGAGGCCAGACAAGAAATTGAGGCAAGGCTTTATTGGGGCCCCTGCTGCACCATGAGGGAAGGAGAACAAAGGACAGGTTCCCTTGCTGGCTCGCTCCCTGAGCGGGGATGAGCTGGTTCCTTATAAGGCGTGAGGGCAGGGGTGTGTCCAGGAGTCAGGCCAGAGGGGCGGCTTAGGTGTTCTGCCCGCCCCTTAGGTGGTGCTGAGTGCAGACGGCGTGTGCGGTGCCCTGCTTTTGCTCCTGAACCCCTGTTTTTGCTCCAGCCTCTTCAGAAGTGGCAGTTGGGTTTTTTGGTCTCTTTGTATCTTTTGTCCATAATGTGCCCCAACTGCGCGTGCCCCCAGTTATTTTTAGTCCCTTATAGTTTCTTTGTATCTGTGGGTGGAGGAGAGGTGTGTCCAGGTGCAAGCCCTGCAGCAGAGGGTCCCAGGTCCCACTCTAAATTGCTCCTAAGACGAGTGTCCCTTGCCCTTTGAGAAGCGGGACAGTTGAGGGCCGCGTTGGCATTGAAGTGAAAGGTCAGTAGCAGCCGGATCTGAACGCTTTCTCGGGAGGAGGGGGCAGAGGTGAACGTGATGCACATGTGAACTTTGGCTTTGTTGGCAGCTCAGCCCCTGAACCCACCGTGTCTCCTTTGAGGCTCCCGCCCTCCTGTTGGGAGTCCGCGCAGATGGGGGGCTGGCTGCACGGGGCCCCCCGGGGCCTTCTGCTCCCCTTCCGTCCCGGGAGCAGCTCTGAAACCCCCGGGTCAGCCCTGGGAGGGTCGCCCTCCACCAAAGGCCGCTCGTGCGCCCGCCGTGGCTGGTTCCTCACGTCGCCCGCACTGTGTGGACCAGGGTCCTCGCCCTGGAGCAGAGCAGCGACTCCGACTGTTTGAGCTGAATTCACAGTGGAAGATGGAGAGAAATTACAGCCACGGTTTATTCCTGTTTTCTGTAATTTGTAACTTCCTGTCTGCAGAGTTGAGAGACGGGGCAAATATCTTCAACAGATTTGTTTTTCAGAACAGTTGTAGATTTGCAGCGCAATCGAGACGGTCGTGGGGAACTGCGGTGCAGCCCCCTGTCGTTAACACCTTAGCCCGTGAGACGGGGCGGTCAGTTGTCACGTCTGTTTGACTCTGCTGGGCTCAGGCAGTTCCTCAGACTTGCTGTGTTTTGTGACGACCGTGACAGTCTCCGGAAGTAGCAGCCAGGTGCTGTGTAGAATGCCAGCTGTTGGAATTTGTTTGATGCTCTGCACGTGAGTGGACCGCGTTTTGGAAGAGAGGTCACGGAGGTTCGGTGACACTTTCGTTGCCCCCGACCAAGGGTAGGTACTGTCAGCGTAAGTTATGACCGCTGACGGTGGCCTTGGTCACCTGGCTGGCACGGTGACTGTGTGGCCTCTCCCCGTCTGCTGCGGGCAGGGCCCTGCGTCAGCTGCTAGGAGCTCTTCTGCGTGGCAGCCTGTCCCCCTTCCTCATCCGTGCAGCCCGCCAGTCGTTCATATCAATATGGACTCAGAATGCTTACTTTACACTTCAGGTCACCCCAGTCGCTCACGTGGCTCCAGCTTTGGCCGTGGAAGCCGTGGAGCGCTTTCCATTGGCTCCAGTGTTTCTTTAACCTCTCTCACTCTGTGTGTGTGTGTGTGTGTGTGTGTGTGTAGCGCTTCCTCGCTTTCTGGCACTACAGGATGCTCCAGACGTGCCTCATGTATGTCCTGCCCCATCCCTAGAATCAGTTGTGTCTCCGTGTTGCCCTGTCCTTTCACTGGAGACGGAATTAGGTCCCAGGGTCTGGACCCCAGATACGCTTGTTGCACCTTGACGCCAGCAAGCAGGAGTGTGAGTTTGTGCCGGCTGTGTGTCTGTGTCTCTGTGCGTACTGCTGTCGGCGATGCCCGCACCTACATTCAGCGACGCGTGAGTGCTGCGGATTTCTCCGTGTTGCCCGCCATCTGCGAGCCCGTGGGCCGTCCCACCCTCCCCGCCCGGCTTATCTGCAAACCGCCCCCCATGGCGAGACACCCGGCTCCCGGCCTGCCGCGCATTTAGGTAATGGATTCATTGCAGGGCACACACAGCAGCGTCAGGGTGCTTACCCCAGTGCTCCTGTGGGAAATGCCTTTTTTAAACGAGAGAGCAGTGCTTGTGTGCAGTTCCTCTGACCTTTTGTCCCGCAGACGTCACTCGTTGCCAAGGTTACCTAGGCTGGCGCCTTTGGAGATGGGGAATGTTTGCAGCTGTCAGTACCAGGCCAGCAGAAGCTCTGAAGTCACAGCTGACACCAGTTCATCTTCATGATGAACGGGCTGCATGGCGGCTGCCCCAAAACTCTGAACACACAAGTCACATCTGAAGAGTGACCTCAGAGTCTTTTTCTTCCCCAGTAGTTCAGTAAAGAAGTAACTTTAGAAAAGCTTCTATGTTTGTTTTTTGCTTTTTAAATCATCCTCTACAGAGAGGGACTCGATCCGGATGAAGAGTCTGAGAGCACACAGTACGGTTCCCCGGCAGAAAGACAAGACACCGAGGGTCTCTGTCGCCCTCCGCCAGCCCCTTCCCCGCACCTGTCTTCCGCCCGCGTCAGGGAGGAATGTTGTGGGTGCTGACCGCGTGCCCCTCGTGCACCATGTGCCCCGGGGCTGCAAAGCGCTGTCTGGGTTTGCACTCCCGAGGGCCCTCTGTTGTAGGAGAGCTCAGTTACCGTGGTGGCTTCCACAGTTGGGCCAGTTTGCTACAATCGAGGTGAAGGGAAGGGGTTGGCAGGGTAGCCCTGAGTCAGGCCGTGAAGCCACATTTATTACATTTATTGAATAACAATCTTGTACCCCCTAGGCTGGCAGGCTCTGCCAGAACTGGGGCGATGTAGGAGATGAGTGACCCTTAGCACCCGCCCTCAGGAAGCTCCATGTAAACCCAGAGCTAAAACAGCGGGTGAAGAGTGCTGCCTCGCCCGCCCTGTGGGAGCCGGGGGCCTGGGTGTGGCGCCTGGGACGGGGGTGTTCGCGGGACGACAGCTGGGAGGGAGGAAAGAACTGCATCAGCGTCGAGCAAAAGCGCCATTTCGGAAGCTCGTTTGTGCAGGGGTGTAGGTCCTGGGGCTGCCCGGGTAAAATGTGCCCGCAGCGTCAGGGACTGGGGGGCGGGGGGGGCGAGCCTCATCACAAAAGGCACCGGCGCCCTGTGAGCCCTTGGACTTAGTCTTGTTCGGGGCAGCTAAAGGGGGAACCTGATTGGCTCCATATTCTAGGTCTATTTGGTGCCTCACCAACTGCTCCAGAAAAAACTGCACCCGTATATTCATTGCTAAAGTAGATCAGTTGGGCAGGGGGTACAGGACTGAGGGAGGTGGGCAGAAGATAAGATTTTTTTCCCATTAACTTTTTCTCCCCCGAACTCACCGCTGTGTGTGTGTGTGTGTGTGTGTGTGTGTGTGTGTGTGTGCGCGCGCGCGTGCACACGCATGTGTTTGTAAAGCTAGTGTAAAAGGATTATCTGATTTAGCATAAAAATTTTAAAAACAGTTCATTGGGTTTTTTCTCCTCTTTCCCTTCTTAGAATAGTACCTGAGAAGAATAGCCAACTTTTTTCTGGGTTATTCAGTAGCTTTTACTATAATAAGAGAGGAAATCAAATCTTAATTCTGATCTATGCCTTCATGCATTTTACCCTTCACGATAAGTGCCCCAGTGCCTCTTTACATAGCTTGTCACACACGCAGAATAAGTAATAGAGCAATAACAAGGATATCCCATTTATTGCTCTAATGGGTTAGACTATATCCACCTATTTTTTTTAAAGACACTTCCTCAGTAAAGGAACAAACTCAATATCAAGCTCACAGTGTTTTTTACCTTAGAGTATTAGCAGTTTACTCAACGGTCTTTGCCTTATTTCCTGATTTTTTGTATTAAGGAAGCCAAGTGAGGGAGACATCTATAAAATCTGATGTTCATCTTCATAGACTTTACTTAAAGCAAGTTTGAGAACCATTTTTCTAGTGTCTTTGTGGAGGGTGAAAAGTAGGAGTAGGAAACTCACACGATGAGCTGTTGTCACTAGCAGAACATTGGAGGTGACCTAGGTGTTCATCCAGGGCCTGCTTAAGTCACGTTCGTCCCACAGAGCAGCCCCACGCGGTGGTTGGAAGGGCACGGCAGCCTAGCAGGCCTCGAAATAGAACAGTTCTCTTAGATATATTTGTAAGTGAAAAAGAAAAGTTGATCAGCAGTTGCAGTAAACGGTCATTTATGTTTCAAGAGAAAAAGGGCATATACAAGATCTCTCTCCACATATAAAGATAGAAAAGTGTGTTCATCGAATGTGTCTGGAAGGGGTCCCCCCCGGGACAGGGATGGAGGGAGTGCATTCTCATTCTTTTCTGGACACTGTGAATGTGTGCCCTGTGCATATATGAATCAGAAAGATAAATTCATTCTCAAGAGGTTATTTGAGTGGCTGCTCTTAGGAATGTTCAGGTAAGGTCTCGGGAGAGAGGAGGGATGGGTTTCAGCCGTGCTGGAAGGTGGTCCTGGAGGGGCTCGGGGACTAATGGGACACAGGGCATGGCGGGGGGACAAAGGGCGACTCTCCAGTTTCTAACAGGACGATGAGTGGGGCATGCGGGCATGCCCCATACCGGGGGAGGAGGCGCCT